GAAAGGATAAGTGTAAAAATCTATATGAATTTGAGATTTCTTTGTACAATTTTGCTTTATATCATAGAAATGTGCAGAATCATAAATTTACATAAAAATACTATACTATAAAATACTATATAAAAAGTCTTATGAAAAGACCTTTTGCACTTTCTTAATTTATAATTTTTAATAAACTATTTTAAACAATAATCTAAGTAAAGTGTTCAATTTAAAAATCTGCATTAATTTGACATTTTATTTTAGTACAATTTTGCTTTCATAGAAATGTGCAGAATTCAAATATTTCTTAATGATTTTAAAAAGTCATAACTCAATCATAAAACTTTACGTCTGTTTTAAATTACATTATGAATAAGGAAGACAAGCTCGCCCTTTTCAAATTTGCATCCGTGAGTTGTTATTCAAGTCCGAGGAGACATTTCAGCATGATTTGGTAGCAATTTGACCTTTAAAAATAGGGAAAGAGGAGGTCTTTGCTGCAAGCTGAAGCGTAGCTAACCTTTTGGGGTTTTGAAAGGTTTTTGAAATACTTTCTTTAATCACAATGAAAGAAAATTAAACACTGTCTCTATAGGATAAACACCAGCTCCAGTGGTGGAGGTCTTGGGTTGAAACCACTCCACAGCTCTTCACATTAGAGGAGGCTCTCTGTTAAAATCAGACTGAAGAAGCCAAAGGTCAGGGATGTGTTGATATCAGTGAGAGCAGGTTTGGTGAGATATCTTGAGTTGGGAATTGTGAGAGATTGATACTGTAAATGCTTCATCCATTTCTTCTCACTTTGATGGTCTTTTCCTCACCCATGACCTTTTCTCCTCTCCACACTATTTCTGCTTGCTTTTTCAGCCGCCCTGCCTTGTTCTCATTGTAGGGTGTTGTGATGTGTTTTTGTAAGAAAAATATCCATATTTAAACCTTTATAAACTCTAATCTCTAGCTTACGCTAACTGGTATATTTTATATTAGAATGTATTTTTAGAATATTCTAGTCTCGCGAGAACCACGTTTTGTTTACAGGAGCAAAGGAAGCAAAGTTTCCTTTGTTTAGCAAAGGAAAACCAGTCTCCTTTTGGCTTATATCGAAATCCTCCAACATGTTTCTTTACAAATCCTAGATTTATACTTCTAATTCATGACCGGTGTTTTGTTTAGCTCGCTCCTCTGCGCTTCCACGTTCATCACTACTCAACGCTGTGCCTACGTCATCCGCCGGAACACCACTCTCTCGTGAATGCGTGTACCAGATAACAGAGGATAGAGAGTTTTTTTAATAAGTTTTAAATATGGATATTTTTCTTACAAAAAATGCATTGATTCGCTTCAGGCCTTTGTTAAAGGGATAGTTCACCCAAAAATGAAAATTTGATGTTTATCTGCTTACCCCCAGGGCATCCAAGATGTAGGTGACTTTGTTTCTTCAGTAGAACACAAACGGAGATCCCCCCGGAGCTGTGTTGGGTACTTTTTAATGATGGATGGATGCAGTATATTGGACTTCTATTGGACTATTGAATATCACACATTCACTGCCATTTAAAAGATTGGAAGAGCCAGGACATTTTTTTAAATAACCCCAATTGTATTCTTCTGAAAGAAGAAAGTCATAAACACCTATGGCTTGAGGCGTGGGTAAATCATGGGGTAATTTTCATTTTTGGGTGAACTAACCCTTTCACAATAGTACATTGGATGGCCTACATGGTACCTAAATTGTTTGCCCCAAGATGAATAAAAATGTCCTCAAAGAGATCACCCAAAATTTAAAATTCTGTCATAATTTACTCAACCTCAGTTGTTCTAAACCTGTATAAGTTTCTTTCTTCGCAAAATAAGATATTTTGACGAATGTTGGTTTTTTTGACGAATACTATGGAAGTCAATGGCTTCGGTCAACCGAAAACACTTTAAAATCAAATTGATAGTCATTTATTTACAAATGGTAAATCAATATTAACATGAGCAACTTGAACATAAAAAGTCCTATCCTAAGAATGCATGATTATATGGTTGGTAGAGAATTATGTGTATTTAGGTTAGTTATCAGAACAGACCTGTGACCCAATTTTTGGTCACAACCCACCCATTGAGAAACACTGATTTAGAACAGCAGGAGAAATACAACTCACTGATTCTTGATTCATGGGATAAAACCTGTCCCACTATCCATTAGCTGTAAAAAATAGCATCATTTTTTAAATGAATCAAAGATTTGTTCTGAACACAAATGTATCATTTCATGTCTTGAACTTCTAAAACCACCTGTACTGACCATAACTGAACGCTTCATATGGATTTATATAGTATGTATCTTTGCCTATTTATACATATAAAAAAAATCAATAAATCAACCGTTACAGGTGTCAAAGCTCAAGTGGACTTGATGAACAGTGACACTGCAGATTCACCTACAACAGTATTTAAACACAGAATAAGCCACATTAAGAATTCAGATGACCATATAGTTCAGGAGTTTGATCTGAACAATCATAACGCAGAATCTGCCATTTTTTTCCGTCAAACAAACCAGACAGGAGAGTAGATTAACGTCAGTGGACTTGAGCTTGAAAAATGGTGTTTATTGACACCAGATTTCCTTCTGATGTTCACTCACATTTATTTTGTGCTATAACTTGTAAAGAGGACGAGATGATCTGTTCACGTGCCGCTTGAACGGAGGTGCTACAGCGATCTGTCACCACACATTAAAGAGCCACAAATCGCTATTTATTGTTTGAATTTCTTAAAAATTTGAAAGCTGAGACTTTGTTTCATACCAAAAGTAATCTGCTCTGTCTTGTCTGTCGGCACTTTGTCAGTGTCGTGTCGAGAACATGATGTGTGGCGTGAGAGCGTTATGGCTTGTTGGACGTAGCAACAGTAACTAAGGGGGGCTTGTTTTTGCGAAGGGTCAATTGTGGCTGGTGAGATCAAAGAGAGCCTCTAACATGTAGCCCTCAACATGTGCAGTGGAAGTACTGTACTGCACTTCAGATGTGCCTCAGTGATTGCCAGTAAACTGATTAGCTTAATAAGGGGGCTCGAGGGACAGATGTGAAAAAGGACATAACATCTCATGCGTTCTGCAGCCTAAAAGGGTTTAATTGTTTACAGCTGATGGATTTTCAACCCAGACTCATGTGAAAATGTGCCTCTACCTATATTTCTGCAAAACTACAAAAACATACCAATTTACTCAGGGATTAAAGTGTTCCGTTGCTACGACGGATTTCCGTCAGTTCATAAAGATAGTCACTTGCTTCATTCCTGAATGATTCAGCTGTTCGAACGAATCAATTGAATGAATGACTCAGTGATAAAATCAGTGACTTGCCGCCACCTGCTGTTCCTGAGTCAAGTTCAGTCCAAGACTCTGTTTCCGAACCAGGTCCGGTCACTGAACCCAATCCAGACCCAGTTCCTCTCTGGACGCCGATCCAGCCGGACCCACCTAAGCCACCATGTGCTCCACCAGCTCCGCCCAGACCA